TCCTTGCTTTTGCTGTCTGCCATGCCATGAACTGTTCTCTGTCATGTGCCACTCTGCCTTGGAGGCAGCTGATTATGGACTGAAACCTCCACAAACTGTGAGCTAAATAAACCTCCTCCCAACCTTGGGTGTTGGGTACTTAGTCCCAGCAACAAGAAAAGCAACTAAAACACCCCCGCAAGACACTCCTCCTATCCCCATACTAGAAGCACCCACATGCACGGCATAGCACCCCTTCTCCAGAACAGGCTCTGACAGTGACAGCCAGGCTAGTAGATAACAGTTCCTCCACACCCCTCGGGTGGGACAGTTGGAAGGTATCCCTTTCATCAGCTCCCAGAGATCCCCAGTAGAATGCAGCCCAGACCGCCCACAGCACTAACCTGTTCCTTCACTTTCATTAACAATAAACTGCCTTCTTTCTCCTCCTCCCAGTATCGCTTCCTCCTTCCCTCCCTGGTGCCTCCCAGGTTCACCTGCACCCAATTTCTCCTCTTGGGCCTGACTTCTGAGAAGCCCAAGCCCAGATGGCACCCACGGACCACCCATCCACGCTTCACTGACCGTCTGCTGTGTGCCAAGCACTCCTTCCAAGGGCTCGCAATCCCAGATACCAAAAAAGGCAGGTGACAGGGGCTCTGATAGCCTCCTGACTCCGATTCCTGCACTAGTAGCAGGGACGGGTATCAGCATGCTCCATTCAGGATATGATTGCAAATAAACCGCCAGGGCACGCATGGATCCCTGGGACCCACTGGGAAGAGAAAAGAAAAAAGAAATGCCTCCTCCTAAAAGGGGTCCCCCAGAAGCCCTGTTTGCTGGCTACCGCCCAGATTTGTTGTATGCACAGCACTTGTCCCAAATTGACACCATTCTGGTCCTTCTTTTGTCTGTGGGACTGATGTCTGTGTAAAACAGAAACTCTAAGGCTGAGGGAGTGGCTCGAGGGCACAGCACTTGCCTAGCGTGTTGGATTCCCAGCACTAAAAGGAAACAAAACTACACATACACAAAGTATTATATACACTCAAGGAAAATTCTGGAATGCTTAGCACTCTGGAGAGGCTGAGGCAGGAGGATCACCTCCAGTTTGTTTTTTTTTTTTTTTTTTGGTTTTTCTCCGGTACCGGGAACCGAACTCACGACCTTGCGCTTGCCAGGCAGGGGCTTTGCCGCTGAGCTAAATCCCCAGCCCCCATCACCTCCAGTTTGAGGCCAGCCTGGGCTACACAGTGAGTTCAAAGCCAGCCTGAACTACATAGTGAGACACTGTCTCAGAAAAAAAAAAAAGATCAACAATTGGAAAGTTTGTCTTTGGATTGCCTACAGGAGGAATCCTGTGTCTAGTCTTACAGCTGGGGACAGATTCTTTTTCCCAGGATGGGGCGGGTTAGCATTCTCCTGTCTACTCCTTCCATTAGAGAGGGATTTTCAGAGTAGAGGAGAGTTCAAACCTAAGCAGAGGGGTAGTGGCACACACCTGTAATCCCAACCCTTTGGGAGGCTAAGGCAGGAGGATCGGCAGTTAGAGTCCTGCCTGTGCAATTTATCAAGACTTTATCTCTAAATAAAAAAGAAAAAGGACTGGGGATATAGCTCATGGGGAAGGCCCTGGGTTCAATCCTCAGTACCATAAAAACTTTTTAAACAGTTCAAACCAAATTGCCTACAGGTGTGAGTGAACGCTTTGCAGCTCTGTGATCCACTCAGGCCTCCCTAGGTGAGGGCCACCCAGATCTGAAAGCAGCTTGCCCCGGGGCAGGCCGGTGGGGACACTCAGGCCAGCACTCCACTGGGCCCGAAAGGCCGGCACAGGAAAGGGGAAGCCCTTGCCGCTCCCTGCTTGAGATCCTGGTCACCTGTTTCTTGACTGGGCTTGGAGACCACGTGGCGGTGCCTTAGGGAGTAGAAGGAGCCCTTCCACCCGTTCCTGACGCTGCTCAAAGCCTGCCCTGAGGCTTTGGGAGCCCCACACCTCCAGCTCGTCCATGTCCCCCCCCCTCAGGCTCACGGCACTGCAGACTGTCTAAGGCCCCTGCCTGCGCTCCAGGAGGAGGGGGTGTTTCCACCTGGGAGCTCGGCAGTGGGGCGGGGCTGGGTGTCCCAGCAGTAGGGGCGGAGCGGCTCTGGGATCCCGCTCCACCCATCCTGAGTCACCCTCTCTGTCCGCCACCCGCCCTGGAGCTCTTCAGGAGTCCTGGCCACTCCATACCCAGGGACACAGGAGGTTGGCCCAAGGTCCTCCCCACAGCGGTGAGTAGGGGCTCCTCACTCTCGGGGACGGGATGGCCAGGTGGGAGGTCTGGCTGGAGCCAGATATGGCCCAGGTGAGGATGGCTCAGGTGCGGCCGGCACGTGCCCTGGGCGGCTGTCCCAGACACGCAGGAGCTGGGGGTGGGGACGGGTGCGCAAACAGGCCCAGCCCAAGGGGCACCTGTGCTGGGGGAGAGAGGACAGGCAACAGGCAGAGGTCAATGCGGGGCATCCTGACCTCACTGCCCCGTCCTGGGCTGGGAAAACAGCACCAGCTCCTGGCGGTGAGCACCTCAAACCCCAGAGCCCCACCACTTGGAATCCTTTCCACCTGCCCGCTGAGGTTTGCGAACTTCTAGACTCCCAAGTTCAGGCGGGGGCAGCTTGGAAAAGTGCCAGCCTGACTCAGATCTGTGACTCAGGGGTCATCCTCCCCTGCCCCAGGCATCAGTTTCCCAGTTGTGGAAAAAGCAGGGCTTGGACTTTGGGTTCTTTGAGGCTGAAAAACTTGGCCATTTCTTGCTGCACTTTTAGCACGCAGGCTGTGGGTGGGTGAGGGGCTGTGCGTGAGGACAGGACTGGGTGAGCAGCACCCGGCGCCTCCACCTGAGCAGAAACTGGTCCACCATGTTTTGGGAGGCAAACAGCTTGAGACCAGGCTGAGAGAAAAGTGGGGGGGAAGCGCGGATGGGTGGGCACGGGGTACTAGGTTAACAGGACCCCGAGCAGGGCCTTCTGGAGCACCCCTCCCAAGTTCTTTCTGCAAAGACAGCACACTTCAAGCACACCTCAAACCTAGCCCTCAGGAGGAGACTGAGGCAGGAGGATCAGCATGCGTTCAAGGCCAGTCTGGGCTACAGAGTGAGCTCAAGGTCAGGCCAAACTATGTAGTGAAATCCTGTCTCAAAAAGACAAAAAACGAATAAAAGAAAAGATGCCGTAGAGGTGAGGGGAGCTTTTCCAGCCCAGACCAGAGTGGACGGCATCAGACAGAGCGGAAGTGAAGGTTAGACAGTCCAGGCGCACAACCTTGTAACTGCACAACCTTGCATAAGTGATGCTTGTCCCCCCAAGTCTGGAAAACAAGCGTCCCAATGCCCAAGCTCCCAAAGTTAGGGCAAAACGTCGCAGGGAGAACGCCAGGCGCCGCCCAATTTTGCAAGCCCCTTTCTCAGAGCCCTGCCACCAGCTCTGCTCAGACGCGGGGTAGGGGGCGGCATCGCGTCGGGGGAAGTCTAATGGCAGGTTTGGAATATCACGTCTGAGTCATGGGGACAGTAATGACAGGCCCCCTCCTCCCCCTCCACTTCCGTGTGTGTGTGTGGGCGCGCGCGTACACCTTGTCCCCTGGAAGCCTCAGGGCTGTCTGCGTGGGACTCTAAGGGTCTCTGTCCTCTTGCCTGTGACTGCATCCCTGGGACAGTGCAGGGGCGCGGTGAGGTTACACCATCATGAGACGGGTCTGAAGAAGTTGCTCCCTGCCTGTCTGTGTGATGTTTTTGCTGCCCCTGACACTGCTCTTTTTTCTTTTTTCTTTTGGGAGGAGGATGCTGGGGCTTCAACCCAGAGCCTCCTGCATGCTGGGCGAGCACTGTACTACGGAGCCACATCCCCAGCCCTTTTAAAGACAGTGTCTCAAACTGCCTTAGACTTGGGATCCTCCTGCCTCAGCCTCCTGAATAGCTGAGCTCACAGGGGTGCACCACTGCACGCACACCAGCTTATTGTTCTGAGGTTAAAACAACTAAGCAGCGTCCCTTGAAAGTTACAGGAATGTTCAGTGGGCCCGAAAGGATTCCTCAAGGCCGCCCTGGGGGGCTGGGACTCAAAGCAGTTGTTACCGCTCTCGGGCTCTGGGCCTTCCCTTGGCCCCATGCGTTTGTGCTTTGCACCCTCGTGCGTGCTCCCAAGTGCCCCGCCCCCGGATCCGTTTTGGTGGTTGTCAGGTGGGTCCATTCCCTGAGCAGCCCCAGGCTTTTCCCACCAGATTAGACACTGACCAGGAGGCCCAGCTCATCCTTACTCGGCTTTTTGAGTAGCGCGGGGAGTATCAGTGAGCAGGGGGCGGTGGGGATCACGAAGGGATGCTGGATTCTGGGTGCCCCCTTGCCTGCAGACCCCCCATATTGAGATCACACCTTGAGGGGCACGGTTATGTGGGCTGCCAGGCTCAGCCTGCTGGGCAAGCCCTGTGCCTGCGGGACGGCCTCCACGCCTACCTGGTCTGCACTCAGGAGTCCCCCACACATCTCTGGGGACAGATTCAGAGACACAAGTGTCGGTGCAGTTGGCTGAGGTGTGGGACAGAAGGCTGGGGCGTCCCTGCTCTTCTCTGGGAGATGCACAGGCGGCCACAGGGTCCCAGCCTGTGCCCGGTGACCACGGTGCAGCCAGGAGGCTCCGAGAAATCTGCTTAAGAGACAAGGGCTGTGGGTGGGAGAGCCTGCGTGCCAGCAGGGGTGGGCTGCCTAGGGACCCCCCACTCTTTCCTCCAGCCTGAACAAGTGGCTGCTGCCTCAGAAGCTGACGTCCTTTCCCGGTGTGACTTGGGCCTGGCCAGTCTGTATCTGCAATAATGATACCTTGGTCAAAAAGGAAACCAGGGACAGACAGTGGGCCGCAGCCCAGGAGTCTGGCAGCCCAGCAGGTGTCAGCCGGCTGTAGGTGTCACTCAGAGAGGTTTCCTTTTGCAGATCCTCCGCCCTTCACATTCCGACACTCCTCTGCCTCTCAGAGCCCAGGTCTCTGTGGACCTCAGATTCTGGCCTGCAGAACCCTCCTTTGGAAACTCAGGCGTCCTGGTCACACCCCCCAGAGCTGCTAGCCCTCGGCATGGCCACTCCCTAAGCCCTGGGGCCCGGGGAACCAAAGCATAGCCAGGCTCCAGCCGGCTTTTCCGGTTGGAGGTTGGAGGTGGTGCCCAGAGCGCCCTGGAGGGGGTGGGAGGCCCACGCCCCGGAAGTCCCGAGCCCTGGGACACGCTCTGGTCCCGTGGTGTGAGAGCTGGGACAGGTTCGGGATACCTTGGAGTAGGTGTTTGGGGGCTCCTGGTGATGCGGGGGAGGGGAGATGCCTGGATTTTGGAAGAAGGCCACACGGGAAGCTGGGGACGGAGGGCTGTGATGCCTCTCGTGAGCTCCAAGCAGGTGGGCAGGCAGGTTGGGGCAGGGGTTTGACGCGCAGGAGAGGCAGCGAGGTCTGGAGAGGTGAGGTCCGGAATGGGCCGGGCAGACAAAGCCCAAGCTAGGGAGGGAAGGGGGACAAACCGTAGGTTCTGCCAGGTTGTGGCAGGGCCAAGAGTGGATTGGGATTCCCGGGGGAGAAACTGGCAGAGATTCCTCTTGATCTCTCTACATCCCCGTCTCTCTGCTTCCCACAGGCACGATGATCCCCGTGGCCGAGTTCAAGCAATTCACGGAACAGCAGCCTGCGTTCAAGGTGCTCAAACCCTGGTGGGACGTGCTGGCTGAGTACCTCACAGTGGCTATGCTCATGATCGGGGTCTTCGGCTGTACGCTGCAGGTGAGAGGCGGGGCTGTGGGGGCGGGGCCCACCTGGGGGAAGCCGGGAAGGAAGCCGCCAGGCAAAGACCCCAGGCCACTCCCAGCCCACTTCGGGCCCCTCACCTCCCCCACCACCGGCAGCAGCATCAGAGTCCTTCCTCCACAACGCTATGGTATTTCATACTTCTTTGCTTTTTTTTTTTTTTGGCTTTTTGAGACAGGGTCTCACTATGCAGTTCAGGCTGGCCTTGAGCTCACTTTGTAGCTCTGGCTGGTCTCAAACTCACAAGAATCCTCTTGCCTCAGCCTCCCGCATGCTGGGATTACAGGCATGCACCACCACAACTGGCCTGATTTTTTTTCCTTTTTCTTTCTTTCTTTTTTTTTTGTGCCTTCTTGGTGGTGCTGGGGATGGAACCCAGGCTCTGGTATTTGCTAGGCTTTTTATAATACTCCATCTTATCCCTGGAATCTAGAAAAGACCTCAGTTACTGAGGTGGTCCAGGGTGAGTGGCTTAAACACCAGAAATGATTGCAGTGTCCCGGACAGGGTGGGATGCATCTGAGACCTGTTGGGAAGAGTCGTCCCAACCATTCTCCTACACTCGGACAGCTCCAGGTGTTCTGCGGCTTGCAGAGAGCATCCTCTTTATCTTCAAATCATCCTCCTGGATTGAAACCAAGGGTGCTCTACCACCAAGCTACATCCTTTTTTTTTTTTTTTTTTTTTTTTTTTTTCATTTTTTACGTTGAAACAGGATCTCACTAAATTGCCCAGGCTAGCCTTGAACTTGTGATCCTCCTGCCTCAGCCTCCTCAATAGCTGGGACTACAGGTGTGCACCACCATTCCCGGTTTAAATGTCCACTTTCTATAAAGACACCCTTCTAGAGGGTTAGAGTCCACCCTAATGGCCTCACCTTGACCTGATTACTTCCATAAAGACCCTATTTTCAAATAAGGCCGTACTCACCAAGATTGGAGGTTGAGACTTCAACGTCTTTTGAGGGGGCAAAACTCCACCCAACTCCTTTTTTCAGACAAAGACTGATGCTACAAATCTTCCAAAGTCAGCCAGCTGGCAACTCTCAGGCTCAGGGTCTCCCAGCTCCCCAGCCCTCCCTGTTTACTGCCATTTCACCATCACCAGGTGACGCAGGACAAGATCATCTGTCTGCCCAGTCACGAACCCCGGGAGAACTTTTCAGAGGCCCCGTGCCAGCAGCTATTGCCTCGGGGGGTCACTGAGCGCATGGCAGGCCTCCGGGAGCTGAGCGGCCTCAAGAACAACTTGGACCTACAGCAGTACAGCTTTATTAACCAGCTCTGCTACGAGACGGCCCTGCACTGGTACGCCAAATACTTCCCCTACCTGGTTGTCATCCACACACTCATCTTCATGGTCTGCACCAGCTTCTGGTTCAAGTTCCCCGGCACCAGCTCCAAGATTGAACACTTCATCTCCATCCTGGGCAAGTGTTTCGACTCACCATGGACCACTCGGGCCTTGTCCGAGGTCTCTAGAGAGAACCACAAAGGCCCAGCCGCCGGGCGGGCCACGGTGATCGCAGTGGCTTCAGCAGGGACCGGGTCTGGCAAAGTAAGTGAGGGTGAGAAGGAGAAAGTGCTCGCAGAACCTGAGAAGGTGGTGACTGAGCCTCCAGCGGTCACCCTGCTGGACAAGAAGGAGGGCGAACAGGCCAAAGCCCTGTTTGAGAAGGTCAAGAAGTTCCGAGTGCATGTGGAAGAGGGGGACATCCTCTACACTATGTACATCCGGCAGACGGTGCTCAAAGTATGCAAGTTCTTGGCCATCCTGGTCTACAACCTGGTCTACGTGGAGAAGATCAGCTTCCTGGTGGCTTGCAAGGTGGAGACCTCTGAGGTCACCGGATATGCCAGTTTCTGCTGTAACCACACCAAGGCCCATCTCTTCTCCAAGCTGGCCTTCTGCTACATCTCCTTCGTGTGTGTCTACGGGATCACCTGCCTGTACACGCTCTACTGGCTGTTCCACCGGCCCCTCAAGGAGTACTCCTTCCGATCCGTGCGCGAGGAGACAGGCATGAACGACATCCCCGACGTCAGGAATGACTTCGCCTTCATGCTGCACCTCATCGATGAGTACGACTCGCTGTACTCCAAGCGCTTCGCTGTCTTCCTCTCTGAGGTCAGTGAAAGCCGCCTGAAGCAGCTCAACCTCAACCACGAGTGGACACCAGAGAAGCTGAGGCAGAAGCTGCAGCGCAACTCTCGGGGCCGGCTGGAGCTGGCGCTCTGCATGCTCCCCGGACTGCCTGACACCGTCTTCGAGCTCAGCGAGGTGGAGGCCCTCAGGCTAGAGGCCATCTGTGATATCGCCTTCCCCCCAGGGCTGTCACAGCTTGTGAACCTGCAGGAGCTCAGCTTGCTGCATTCGCCAGCCAGGCTGCCTTTCTCTTCCCAGATCTTCCTGCGGGACCGCCTGAAAGTGATCCGGGTCAAATGCGAGGAGCTCCGTGAGGTGCCCCTCTGGGTGTTTGGGCTTCGTGGCTTGGAGGAGCTGCACCTGGAGGGGCTTTTTCCTCCAGAGCTGGCTCGGGCTGCTTCCCTTGAGAGCCTCCGGGAGCTGAAGCAGCTCAAAGTGCTGTCCCTGCGCAGCAACGCCGGGAAGGTGCCGGCCAGCGTGACCGACGTGGCTGCGCACCTGCAGCGGCTCAGCCTGCACAACGATGGTGCGCGCCTGCTCGCCCTCAACAGCCTCAAGAAGCTGGCAGTCCTTCGGGAGCTGGAGCTGGTGGCCTGCGGGCTGGAGCGCATCCCCCACGCCATTTTCAGTCTAGGCGCGCTGCAAGAGCTTGACCTCAAAGACAACCACCTCCGGTCCATTGAGGAGATCCTCAGCTTCCAGCACTGCCGGAAGTTGGTCACGCTCAGGCTGTGGCACAACCAGATCGCCTATGTCCCAGAGCACGTGCGGAAGCTCCGGGGCCTTGAGCAGCTCTACCTGAGCCACAACAAGCTTGAGACCCTGCCCATGCAGCTCGGCCTGTGCTCCAGCCTCCGTCTGCTGGATGTATCCCACAATGGGCTGCATTCCCTGCCACCCGAGGTGGGCCTCCTCCAGAACTTGCAGCATCTGGCTCTCTCCTACAATGCCCTCGAAGCCTTGCCGGATGAGCTGTTCTTCTGCTGCAAGCTTCGGACATTGCTTCTGGGCTATAACCACCTCGGCCACCTCTCACCCCATGTGGCGGCCCTCAGGGCCCTCAGCCGCCTGGAGCTCAAGGGCAACAGGTTAGAGGCGCTGCCGGAAGAACTGGGCAACTGCCCGGGACTGAAGAAAGCGGGGCTGCTGGTGGAGGACACCCTTTATGCAGGGCTGCCTCCTGAAGTTCGGGACAGGATGGAAGAGGAATGAAGTCAGTGGGGAGCAGGTTGAAGAAAAGGACTTCGGATGCTTCCACCCCTGCCTTGCCAAGGGGCCCCACCCGGAGAGGAGGGGCAAATGTGTCAGCTTTGTGGGGTCCAGACTAGATCCTGAGACTGGTTTCTTTGGAGTGAGAGACAGGAAGTTGTGGATTTGCGGTGGAACCTATGTGGAAATATAAACCAGTCATAGAAGCCTTAGCTCAAAACCACACCTGTGTCTTTGGCTGGCTGGCCTGCCCTCCCTCTGGGCATTCCAGCTCCATTAGTGTCATGGATGGGAGCGGGAGCATATCCCAATGGGATCTCCAGCCCGCTGCCCCACCAACAAAGCAGCTTACATCTGTGGTCCTCTCCCAAGGAGGGGACACAGGCACAAAGGACCAGTTCCTACACCTCCATTCCCACTTGGATGCTATTTTCTTACTTATAAGTAGTTTGCTGCAGACACGTGTACTTGGATTTGGCTCTGCACCAAAATCCACTGAGGAGCCAGGACGGAATGAAACAACCCAGGCCCCACCCCTAAAAGACTGACTCAGGAGCTTTGGGTGGGGGCCAGGAACCAGCTTGTAAATAACCATGCCCCATAATTCTAATGCAGGTGGTCCTAGGACAGTATGATGGAAAGGGCTAGCCTCAAGAGTATGGGTACCTTAATGTCTAGATTCTGAGCCCCTTTCATGGCCTAGACTCAGAATCTGATGAAAGCTGGGCACCTCCTCCTTCGGCGAAATGTTCATACACGCAAAACTCTGCGCACAACCTGCAGGCAGTCCACAAGGGCTATTCATGGACTTCCTAAGGTTGGCCGACTCCAGGTTAAGAACACGTGTCTTGGAGACTACATTTTTCCCAAGACATGGAGAGCTGTTGTCTTTTGGACGTTCCCTGGGTGAGGGAGCGTAGAGCGTAGAGTGGGCGCACAATAAATAATAATTATAATCCGATCTCTTCTGCGCATGCCTATTGAACTCCCTAGTGAGACCCTGCCTCAAAAAAAAAAAGAAAAAATCTGCATTCCACGAGCTGCGCTCACATTCTGGGGGTGAGAGAGATGGAGATGCCGCGTCCTACGGTTCCACCCAGGTCTGGCTGGCACGCTGACCTTGACCTTGGCCTTAAAACTGAGGTCAGGGGTCCCCTTGCTGGATTGCCAGGGCCCTGCTTCCCGCCACGCCTCGGCCAGCTCAGCTTGCTGGGACTGGGTGAAACAGAAAGGGATTCCCACGGGTGCCCAATTATGGTGAGAAGGCGGCACCGCGCTGCCAGCGGGAGGTCAGGCAGCAATGAAATCGAACAGGAATTTTAATATAGCACTGTCCCAGGCATGGGAGGCAGTTTCTTTAGGGGAAGGCAGCCAGGGTGAAGCTATCCAGGAAGAGCGAGAGAAAACAGGTTGTACCGCGGTGGGGACTGCAGGTGACATGCGGCACAACAAACCGCGGGGGATGCACACGCGTAGTAGAAGGAACGCGCGTAACGGCGTCGCTCCGTCTGTACGCCTGCGCACCGCCACTCTCTAAGGCACGGTGCGTTTCCACGCAGCGCCCCTCTCTGGAGCGCTAGGACACTCACGCATGCGCACCACGGGGGTAGCGGTGGGCGGAGGCGTTGCACGTTGCCAACCGCGAGCTCTAGGTGGCGTCATCCCTCGGGCTGGCATGAAGCACGCACGCGCGGAGAGTCGCACGCGAACGGGGCGGGCGTGCGTCGTGGGCATGCGCCTTGCGGGACGAGACGGCGGCTCGGCGGGGTCATCCGAGCGCAGGCGCAGTGCGGTGTTTGTCTGCCGGACTGACGGGCGGTCCGGCGGTGCGCGGCGGCAGCGGCGGCGGGGAAGATGGCGGCGTCTTCCCTGGAGCAAAAGCTGTCCCGCCTGGAAGCAAAGCTGAAGCAGGAGAACCGTGAGGCCCGGCAGAGGATCGACCTCAACCTGGATATCAGCCCTCAGCGGCCCAGGCCCAGTAAGCACGGCGGCGTGGGGGAGGGGGCGGG